AGGCTGCAACAAAAAGCATTTTTTTCTGTAAAATGGTGAAGTTTTGGAACCTCTGTTGGGTTACTATTATTGTCTGTGACTTTCTTACCCACTGATGACAACTCCCTACATTTCTTGTCCCAGTATCACAGGCTGTCAAAGAGACAGAAAGTGAGGCAAACGCTTTAGAAATCTGACATAAGCATTCACTTTTTTTAAACCTATCTAAATTAAAAAAAAAAAAGTTTGGACTGGAGTTTGGCTTTACTGAGTGGGTAGGTGGAAGCAGGCCTGATGAAACCATGCACATTTTGATTTGATGATCTAACAAAGTTTCTAAATTTTGCTTGTATTGAAGTGTACTTATCAGTTTTTTTTTTTTATCTACAGTAGCCTTTAAGGTCAACTTGAACATTTTTCTGGGGTTTTAACGTGTGGTTGAAGGTGGCATACAATGGAGGATCACTGAGGTCAGTTAACTCTGAAGCCGACCGTTCACCCACATCCAACGGCTGCCACCATGTGTTTTATCAGAAACACACCATTCATAGTGTCTGCTGTATCATGTGTGACTTCTAAGAAAAAGATGTAATACACATTGTCACACCAGACAAGAATATGACAGAGGTTAAAATACAGTATCACCCACTCCACACCTTTTGGATGAAAGATTGTTACGGAGACATAACCGTCTTCTACTCATAGACATACACCTTCCCTAGCCAACTCAACCCTATAGGATGCTTGCGCTAGCAGCCACCTTTACATATTCTTGGAAAAAAGAATTTGATCACTCCATCACACAAAACTGAATCCAATGCATCCTTCACTTAGCACGCAAAGAATCAATATCCAAGAAAATTTAGGAAGCGGGTTATAAGCACCCTACATGATTGTATACTGATAAATACACTGTATATGATGTATCCCCATCATCAGCATTATGTTGGAGCTGCAAAACACACAGAGGACATGCTTCTCACCACTTTCTGCTCCTCAGTTCAGGCACTGTGCTATAAACTAAAGCCAGCCACACATGGATCAAAATTTGGCCAGTTCAGCAGGAATCAGGCGAATTTCGATCGATGTATGGGTAGGAAGGTTGCACAGAACTTGACGGCACAGTTATGTGCTGGACTTTACCCTCCGTGTGCCATACCCCTCTGAGCCTGGATCACTACTGTATGATGGACTTAACCTCTGCTGTGCCATACCCTCTTGTGCCTGGATCACTGCTGTGTACTAGACTTAATCCCTGCTGTACCATACAATAGGTCACTATGTGCTTTCCCCTTTAGGTGGTCTCAGCTGTCTCCTTGAGATATCTCCAGGTTTACATCAGTCCAGGCATTATAACACAATACTCATCCTGTAGCATCTCAGCTCAAAAAGATTAAAAGACCATCATCATGCAATACATTGCCCCCTGGCCTTCAGTATCGACTCTGAAAGTCACTCCATCCCGGTAACTTTCGAGTATGTGCGATAAAGTCACTTTCTCCCCTCTGATATGTTTCATCTCTGCACTGTTTACCTTTGAGGAATTCACATAGTGCAGTGATGAAATGCACAAGGGCAGAGCCAGGGGCGTCATTGCACATACCCAGAAGTATCCGGAGAGAGTGCTAGATGGTTTTTAAGTGTATGTTTTTCTTTAGGTTGAAATAGATGGACATATGTCTTTTTTGCAGCCTATGTAAATATTATACTATGGTAACCTATTCATATATTTTGATCAATGCTTGTTAAAAACTTTAATGCAATCAAACTGGTGTTTTGGATTTAGTGGCCACTTAATTAGTGACCATTCGTGTGTCCACTCCCACAACCACTTTTTACATTGTATTTTTAAACCAATACCCATTTAGCCCTGACATAAAGCAAAACTGCATATCCACTTTCTGCAATTATGAAAAGAAAATGTATATGAAGTGTTATTGAAATACAGGCATGAATTCATTGCATTTTATTTAAGCAAAAGAAAATCAAACTCTTATAATTTGTCCATAACTTGAACCAGTGGTCTCCAAACTGTGGCCCTTTGCTTGCCTTTATCAGGCCCTTGGGGCACTCTTCCACCACTGACACAAGGCACAAATATACCTTCTAATGACACCAACAACAGGGTATGATTACTGGTACTGATACCAACAATAGGGCACTATTCCTACCAATGACACCAATGTTATGGAACTATTCTTCCCACTGACACCAATGATGGGGCACTATTCCTCCCACTGACACCTATGGTATGGAACTATTCTTCCTACTGAAACCAATGATGGGGCACTATTCCTTTCCCTGATACCAACAATGATGCACTAATCCTTTTCCTGATCCCAATGATGGGGCACTATTTATTTTTTCCCCTACTACCAACAGTGTATCACTATTCCTTCCATCAATACCAATGATGAGGCATTGTTTATTCCCATTGATGGGGCATTTTCTATTCACACTGGCCACCGTCCAGCCCCCTCAAAGTCTGAAGGACAGTAAACTGGCCCTTTGTTCAGAAAGTTTGGAAACCCCTGACTTATAACATTGCAGATAAATGTTGATCTTGGTGCAGTTGTTGCTTTCCCTGCTTTGCTCTAGTGTCTGTTAGCATGAAGCACAGTAGCTAGTGTGGAAAGAGTCCTAGGTCTCAGTCCTAGAAGAAAATAAAAATGGCATTATGGACTGGACTTGTTGTTTGAGGACTTGTTATCATTGCTGATACAATTATATTAATAGTTACTGCCTAAGGGCTAGTTCATACGAGATGCAATCCAGTGAGTTTTTTTTCTGCATTAAAAATGCATGCACGGTTTTTTCCATGTATTCCAATTTCCCTAGTTCACGCCGATGCAGTCAGTTCCAGTTTCGGGTGCAGAAAAAAAAGTAGAACATGCTGTTTTTTTTTCTGCACAGAACCATACTGGAACTGCATCAAAACTGCATCAAAACTGCACCGGAATTACGTGTGGTGTCAACTGTAAGCAAAAAAGTATCCGGAATGTATCCAGAGTGCGTTTTTGCAGTGTGAACTGGCCCTTAATGTTCACTTTTCTTTAACATTTTTACATGTGTAAGTGTTTATGGTCCTCCAAAGTCCTGTATTCTCTCTTACTCCCCCTATAGATGTAAAGAATTCAGGGAAATACAGTCAAGTGCTGTATGTAACTATATAGAAAAATGGGGAAAGCACGAGAAAGGAGTATCATACAATTAACTAGTGTCCCTCGTTAATAATCTTTACTTGACACTTGGTCTCTGGTTTTGCAGTGGTGCTCATTTGATATAATGCACATTTTATGTTTGCAGCGCCTTTTTTATTGTTATTTTGTGTTACAATAGTGATCACAAATGTAAATGGGTAACAAGGATGTTAAGTGAGTTTTCTTTATAGAGAATTTATACCCAATTTTTGGTGATAATTTATGAATATGCAAATTCAACATTTCACCTGATATGTGCCTGCTGTACCATGTACTTGAATGAAAAAGTATCCGTTTTTTTTTTTATTGCTTCCTTTGTGTGAAATCCCTGGTGTTCCTGCCAGTCCCTCTGCTTTCTTTTTTATTTAAACGTTTTTATTGCCATATGCAAACAAATACATATCCAAATATGCATACATGTCAAAAGACATTAGCAATCCATCAAACAGTAGGAATGTTACATTCTTCCAAGATTTATGACATATCTATCATACATCCAACCACTGTATAGAAATACCAATATAAACATATCAAAGTTAAACATGTGGTAATTAGTATCACATTTACATAAAAGCTTTTATTACATTTGTAAACATGAACCCATTAAGCAAAGAACCCTCTGTTTTCTTACTAAGAACTGACCACACTAAGCAGGAGAACACGCACCGTGGTCAGTTCTCTAACTATGTTGGGAACTCAGCCTGTTCTTCCCCAATGATCAGACTTCTGCGGACACGCCCCCTGCAAAGCCTTTCACTGGGATGTTTAGTGTTCTGCTCTTTCTTCTACCCCAGCTCTTATGCAGTTCAAAACAGAGGTATATATTCACAAAAAAAAGTATTTTTTTTTTATATCTATACACAAATGTTTTGCCTTTCATTTCTATTTTATAATGAATGGGCTGTTTTACAAGGTGAGGGTTTACAATCACTTTAAATTGTCTTAAAAATTGTGTGACTATGACAAGTTTTAATTGTTGACAGTGTGCATGCAGTTAATGACAATATATTGACCTGTCTAAACAGAAGTTGTCTGTTACCTTGTGGTTCCAGAACATACAGTGCCTTGCAAAAGTATTCATAACCCCTTGAAAATTTTCCACATTTGTTGTCATGTTACAACCAAAAACGTAATTTTATTTTATTGGGACTTTTTGTGATAGACCTACACAAAGTGGCACAAAATTGTAAAGTGGAAGGAAAATGATATATTGTTTTCAACATTTTTTACAGAATAAATATCTGAAAAGGAAGGCATGCATTTGTATTCAGCCCCCTTTACTCTAATACCCCTAACAAAAATCTAGTGAAACCAATTGCCTTCAGAAGTCACCTAATTAGCCACTTGCCCTCCAGAGAATTTACCCCACTTCCTGACCAGGCTATTTTTTTGTTACAGCGCTGCGTTAAAAAAAAAAAACATTTAACTGGCAAATGGATGGCCATACACCCAAATGAAATTTATGTCCTTTTTTTTTTCCCCACGAGAGCTTTCTTTCGGTGGTATTTGATCGCCTGTGCATTTTGTATTTTTTGCGCTATTAAAAAAAAAAAAGGATGAAAATTTTGAGAAAAAAAAACAACATTTTTGACTTATTGCTATTAAACATGTCCAGTAAAAAAAATTTAAAAAATTAAAATTCGTCCATAAATTTAGGCCAAAAATGTATTCTGCTACATGTTTTTACTAAAAAAAAAAATCCCAATACGTGTAAATTAATTGGTTTACGTGAAAGTTATAGTGTTTACAAATGGCATTATAGATACTGGGATTTTTAATTTTTTTTTTATTTTTACTAGTAATGGCGGCGATCAGCAACTTATAGCAAGACTGAGGCAGGCATTCTGACACGGGGGGGAACTGACTGGGGTTACTGACATCCCCAGTGACACCAATACAGTGATCAGTGCTAAAAAAAAAAAAGCACTGACACTGTACTAATGGCACTGGGCAGGAAGGGGTTAACATGAGGGGCGATCAAAAGGGTTAACTGTGTGCTGGGTGTGTTTTACTATGGGGCATGTGTCCCTGTGCTTCACTGTAAGCACACTGCTTTGGATGTCTGTGTTTGTGTACAATCATCCAAAGCAGTGTGCATGAGCTGACAGGGAGGAAAACTGTTTTATTTACAGTGATTGACAGCCATGGCTGCAAATGTCGGCACGCCTACATTCCGGCCCCCCCTACCCCAGAAATGCAAAATCACGTATATATACTTGATTTTATGCACCCTGCCGCCCTGTAAGTAGTATTTCTGCTATAGGGCGGTCGGGAATCGGTTAGTAAATAGAGTTCCACCTGTGTGTAATGTAATCTCAGTATAAATACAGCTGTTCTGTGAAGCCCTTAGTGTTGGGCATGATGTTCGAGTTGAACATTGGCCGTTTGTGTGTTTGGCGAACACATGGTAAGGATGTTGCCTGCTGCGCCCCACAACGCACTGCGCCATGACAGTGCATGGTGATTGGCCAAAGCAATGCACCTGACCACTAGTGATGTCATCACAGTATTTAAGAACTGTCAGCTGTCAGATGGCCGGGAGCCATCGGTGGTGGCGGGTGGGCATCGTGAATTGACGTTGGAGCTCTTCAAAGACAGTCTTCTGTCATTTTTTTACACTACACTTTTTTTTTTTTGTAAATGAGGTTGCCAGGATCTTGATATAGGGGGGCTTCCAGATTCCGATAAGCCCTTTGCCCCACAACCACAGGCCCATGGTTGTGGGGAAGAGGCCCTTGTCCCCATTAACATGGGGAAAAAGCTGCTTTGGGGGGAGCCCCCCTGCCCCAAATCACACCCCCTATGTTGAGGGCATGTGGCCTGGTATGGTGCAGGAGGAAGGGGTGCTCGCTCATCCTGACCCTGCCAGGCTGCAAGGTAAGGGTCTGGTATAGATTTATTTTGGGGGGGGGGGCCTCCACACCATTTTTAAAAAAAAATTCTGATGTTGGGGTTCCCCTCAAAATTCATTACCAGACCTGAATGGGACCCCGTGCATTATTTTAACATTTTTTCAATTGCCGGGCAATGCCAGCAGTTCTTTTTACATTCAGCTGTTAGTGGGGAACCCCGCTGACAGCTGAAACATGAAATAATGTTTTCACTACTAAAATACCGCATTACTTAATATTATAACTCATGCAGTATTTTAGTAGCTGTACGGTATCTTACCACATACTCAGATGTGGGTAAAATACTGCAAGTAAATTGTGCGACCGCGAACCAAACAGGGGGTGTTTGGCTCATCACTAGAAGCCCTCAGAGGTTTGTTAGAGAACATTAGTGAGCAAACAGCATCATGAGGCCAAGGAACACACCAGACACGTCTGGGATAAAGTTTGTGGAGAAGTTTTTTTGTTTACAAACGATTTTATTGTACATAAGTGATGACAGTAAAAACAACAGCACATTTGAAAGTGATATTGTCAACAAAAATAAAGCATATTTGAAATGTACAATACATAAAAGTATATTAACATAAAAAAGAAGATAGAGGAAAAAAGGAAGTTAATGAGTGCATGAAAGACCTAAATGATAAAAGAGGATGAGTGATACATCTATATCAACAATATATGTCAACCAACTTTTACTGGGGATGTTGTTAAGTATGCAATATATGTCTACAATCTTTCCAGGACTCCCATTTTTTTATCGTATAAGTGCATCTTATCCAATAGGGTATAATGAATACGTTTCCATAAGCATTACAGTGTCAATTCTGTGTAAAACGGAGTCCAAGGGTACAACATTGGACCTCCAATGTAGGGCAATGGACCATAAAGTGGCAATACATAGTGTATGTATCAATCTCAGATTGGTATCAGAGACCCCTGGGATATGAGCCCCCCATAAACAGGTCTGTATGGACAATTGTATCGGGGTGCCCGATAGTGAGGTAGCCACCTCAGATATCTTACGCCAGATCAAAGATATGTTCGGGCAAAATCCCAAAAAAATATGGACCCAAAGTACCTGTGCGGCCACAGCCCCGGGAACACAGAAAGGGGATGTTTGTGGAAACAATACATGTAGTCTTGAACGGGTATAATACCATCTGGTATAAAAACTTTTAAGGGATGTCTCTCGAACCGAAAGAGATCTAGAGCTCTTGCATATATTATCCACCATAGAATCCCAATCCTCATCTGAAAAAGTGATACCACAATCCTCCTCCCATCTTTGTCTGTATAATAAAAGGGGGAGCATGACAAAGACAGAACAAAAATTGGTGATAAAGATCTGAAATAAGACCCCTACCTCTGGGAGAGTCACGGCTGATACGCTCAAAAAAAGAGATCGGAGAGGATGGGGTAAGGCCAAAGTGCGCCTTAAAAAAGTGCCTTAAATCTGTCTATAACGGAGTACTCACGGAAGAGGAACATCAAATAAACACGCGCAGCATATCGAAGGAAATGTAAGATCCTCCTCTTTGGAAATCAGATAATCTGATAAAGGATCGATCATACCACCAACGAACATGTGAGGGGAAGAAAAGGCTACAACAAAAGTAGGATCACCAAAAAATGAATAAACACCATGGGGGAATATGGGAGACTAAACTCAATTTAGCCTTATATCTGGACCAAAGTCGTCAGCGAGTGGGTCACTATGGAGTTATAAAAAGTAAGTGATCGGGGGGAGATTTTAGACCATAAAATTCCCGGTAAATAAAAAGGACGTATTGATTGAGACTCAAATTTAATCCATGGGATTTGAGAGTTAATAGTAGCCCATTGTGTTATAATTGCGCAAAACGAGCCGAAAGATAATATAACCAAAAGTTGGGAAGACCGAGACCTCCCGTCCGTTGTGAGCGATATAAAATGGATGAAGCAAAACGTGGATGCTTGTTACCCCATATAAAATTATTAATAGTCCGCTGAAAATTGATCCAAAAACGTTTTTGAGACGGAACTGGAAGTGCTCTAAAAAGATAAAGCAGTTTGGGGCAAGATATTCATTTTAACCGCCGTGACTCTACCCAGAAAGGAGATATGATATCCATGCCAAATCTTCAGTAGGTAGAGAGTACGTGACACACACGGTGGATAATAGCTGTAAACATATCTGAGTACCTGGGAGTAAGATTAATCCCACAGATAGGATATCCTGGTCTTTGACCCAGCGAAAAGGAAAAGAAACTACGGGAGAGATACACTTAGGGAAGTCAGGAACGTTAACAGGCATAATCACTGATTTGGTAAAGTTAACGGTGAGACCTGACACTTTAGCAAAATTCATTCAATACTACACATAATTAGGCAAAGAAGTCAACGGGGTTTAGTAATAAAAAGCATAACATCATCAGCATACATGCTCAGCTTAAAATGTGAAACTAATAATGAATAGCCAGGAAATATCCGAATGTGATTTGATCGCCAATGCCAAAGGTTCGCAACACCAGCGCAAACAAAAGGGGCGAAAGAGGGACAACCCTGATGGGTACCTCTACCCAATTGTAAAAAAGTCAGAGTTACAGCCAGGAAGCCTTATTTCTTGTTTTAGGAGAGTCGTATAGGGCATGTATGCCTGCCAAAAAAACCCCATCACTGAAGCCCATCCTCTGTAGCAAGGAGAACAAGTAGGGCCAGAGAACACTGTCAAAGGCCTTGTTATGTCCAAACCCTCATCAACAGAACCTCTTTGGAATGTAAATTGGCATCCTTGAATAACGTTTAGAGTGAGACGAATGTTATCAGTAATAAATCTGTCGGGAATAAAACCCGACTGGTCTGGAGAAACCAAAGATGGAGATGATAGGAGCCAACCTATTCGCCAAAATACGGCTAAATATACTTCAGATCGTTTATTCATTACTGAGATTGGTCTATAGTTTTGCGGCAGACAGTGGTCTTTCTGCGCTTGGGTATTAGAGACATGTTAGCCAACAACATCTCCTCGGGGAACTTACCCCCCTGTAAAACATCATTAAATAAAGTTATCAAGTGTGGAGCCAACGTAAGAGGCAAAATGTTTATAATAGCTAGCAGTAAATCCATCATGGACCCGGCGCAGTAGAGCGTTTCAGCGCCCCTATCGCACATGTTATTTCCTCTAAAGTACAGGGGGCATTATGTGAGAACAGGAAGGGGTATAGAATCCAGCCATGAATCTGAGAGAGGAAACAGAATCTGATTGTGGGGGAGCTAGTAGTTTAGAATAAAAATTTCAAAAATGCCCAAGACTTCTTGAGGTAAAGATGAGATAGCACCCGAAATTGGTACAGCAATTTATACACGTGTGGGGGGGGGGCGTAAAGAATGGTTCAAATTTCCTCGCAAACATGGTAGATGCTGAGTTGCTATGTAAATAGGAACGAGGCCTTCGACCAGCGGAGGGCCTTTTCAGTTTTTTGGGAAAGCAGGGCATTCAGCTTTCCAAGCGTTTTTGGGACAATAGCTGTTTATTGAGTAAAGATGGATTCGCTACGTGGCTTCTATAGTGTGCTTCTAATTCTCTCGGGTTAAAAGTAATATCTGTTGCCAACGTTTTTATTTCTGGTTGAAGCCATGGAGATAAGTCGGGCCTCGTAAGACCGCCTTGTGGGCTACCCAGAGTGTGGCTGGGGAAATATCAGGGTTGAATTAGATTGAAAATATTCCTGAAGAGATGTAACCACCTCCCGGCGAGAGTCAGTATCAGTCAACATAGAGTCATTGAGTCTCCAAGAGAAGGGGAGTAGGTGCCAATCCCCACAAACGTGATAGCTAAGGGGCTCAAATGAATACTAGCTATCCTAGAATTAGCTAACAAAATAGGGGTACAATAAATATAGTCCAATCTAGCATAAGAGTCATGTGGGTGGGAATAAAAGGTATAATCCCTGGCTCCCGTGTTATGTGCTCTCCAGGCATCCACCAACTGGAGGGCATCTAGTTTCTTAATGAGGGATTTTGGAAAGCATGGATGTGTGCGATGAGGAGCTACGGTCCCAAAAGAGGATTTGCCACCAGATTAAAATCACCACCCACCAATAGATGGGGGGACAAAAACTTATCCAGAGCACAAAAAAATTTGGAAAAAAAGGTAGCTTGTGCTGAATTTGGTGCATAGACATTAGCAAATTGTAAGTTCTCGACCCGAAAGGGTGCCTTAAGAATGATAAAACCGACTGTCTGGATCACAATACACATGTTGAACCTCAAAGGGGAATGAGTTTATGTAGAAAGATGGCCACTCCCCTACTCTTGGAGGAATGTAGGGTA